CCCATGGAAATTATTTAAAACGCAAAGATAAAAAAAATGTTCTTAAAAAAGTTTTGGGGAAGTTGAACAGTATGTACATATGTAAATCCCTGTTTGCCCCGCTCCTTTTCTGTATGGACCTTTAAAATGAGATATGGTCTTTATTTTTGTATACCTTATACAATTGCTGTATGTTTTAATTGTTTGATACAAAAGCAGCATTGTACCTTTTGAATCAATATCAATTAACAAGGTAATTAATTAGTGAACATCATACTTTAATTTCTATTGAAGGATAAAGTATTAGTTATAAACATTTATTAGTAATTAATACTAATATTAAATAAGCATTAAAAATTCTAAAAGTGTATTAATTGTACGTTTAACAGATTAAAGAAATGAATATAGATATATATACAAAGTCATGTTAAGTATTGCATTTTTTCATATCTATCAATTAAAAATATCTTTTTTAAAAAAAAACATTTTTTTAGTTTTTAAACTGGTATATACAAACTAATGTTTTATAATGCTATTCACAAACAGCTTTCCCTTTAATTTGACCTATGACCTATGTATTCTGAATTTTGTATTATTTCTTGATTGTAGAATAAAATTCGCTGCTGAATATTTAAGTATTGCTAAGTGAAATTTCGGGATTTTTTTACTTCCCGCTGTAATGATATATAAACTACGGATTTTTTGGGAAGTTTTTTTCAGACAGCGTATAGAAAACCATGGTAGCAGTTTGGGCAATTTCTTTCGTTTTCGTCTTCTTCGTTTGTGTTGATAGCTTACAGCCAATTTATCTAATAAAAGAATGATTGCGTCTGTAATGATCAGACGATACAGACATTGAACAAAAAGATTGACTCCATAAGAAAGGAGAACGCGAACATATTGACTCCTTAAAACAAAAAAATTCTGGATTATTTTAGTCAAAAGAAAATTCAAGAGGAATTTGATGAGATTGTTAACATCCTAAAGAAAAATGAAACCAACACCCACGAAGATTTGAAAGCAACCGTAAAAAAGATGTACACGAGTGTAATGAACAATCCATGTGAGAACGGTGGTGTGTGTCAGAACAATGGGGGATTTTCATGTGTCAATGCACGGAGGGGTGGACGGGTCAGACCTGTGGAGAAGATGTTGACGAATGTATAGAGTTCCCGCAGCCATGGGGTTTGCTCAATAGCCGGGATCTTACGTGTGTAATTGTAAACCAGGATGGACCGACAAACATTGCAAGACAGGTCAATGAGTGTCTGACTAAACCATGTCAAAATGGTGGGTCATGCCAAATATCATTGGTTTTAAAATTACATGTAAAGATCCCATTTTGGACGTAACTGTGAAAGCGCCATGTTTGCAACATCTACTCGTAAAGAAATTGGAACCAAGAATGTGGAAATTATGTGTGATCTCAGAAATGTTGAAGAATGGGGGAATTTTTTATGTTGTTCGAAACAACGTGCCTGTTATTCGTGTCAATCCCAATGGCAGGGTTCGTCAGATTTAATGGAGAAAGGTGAGGGCCAAACCCAACATCGGTGGGGTGGGAGATCAACGTGAGGTTCACCACCTTCCAGTGCCAGGACGAGGGACACTATACCTGTAGATAGACAACACACAACCCCCGGGGTATGGAAACCATAGTTACACTTGCACCTCAAGGTAAACCCATCTTGCAAAAATTGAGGAACTTTTCGGAGAAAAAAATATTATTTTAACTGTACTGGTAGACCTGGTTATCCAGACGGAAACTTAGAGTTTGAAATTAAATTGTCAAATGAAACGGAATTCCGACCATACCATTTTATGTGCCAAAATTACAAATGAAGACAAAAACTGTTATCGAACTCAAACGATTAATGCCACATATCTATTTACAATGGAGTGGAACCAGGCCAAAATTATTGTTTAAGTGGAGATAAATATGACGAAACTAATGTTTACCTCATACCACCCACGATATGTGAAAAGTACCCGTTAACAGGAGTGTTCACATCCTTACGATAAACATAAATACATCACGTGCAAAAGTGAGGCCCCACAAGCTCGTTTCTGTCCCGGAGGCACGTGCTTTAAGAACGTTCACAACAATTTACATTCACATTTAATGGATAATCACTTTTAGAATTTAACTATTCAATGTAACTTATTTTGTTTTTATGAGGGCAAGCCCTCTCCTGCCCCGGGGTCGGAGGCGAAGCTCCCCTTATAGGTAACACGTATGTATATGAAAAATAAAAGAAATCTATTGAAAAAATTTGTCATTTTCATTACCTATGGAACTGAGATTCTTGTCGCCAATATGGCGTCCTGTAAAATGGCGTCGTGTTGTTTAAAGCGCAAAATCTCGTTGTTGATTATACTTTAATCAAAATGAAAAAAAATTTCCAAGGATAATGTGTAGTAATTGTTTTTTACTAAAAATCAGATCCATTAGTAATCAGGCCCTTCCAACTTTCGTTTTAGACGTTTAGATTTATTTATAGTTCGCGCTAACAAGTAAAACGGCATTTGATTGGTCAGAATTTCCCAATAGGCGGTGCTGTCGTCTGCACTATTGAGGAACGAATGTATCTGTGGCCCCTTTTACCAGAAATCCGTATTTATGTTTTAAATAAAATTTATAAAAAACGAATGTCTTCAGGATTATAATTGTCAATGCATACCAAGCTAGAAATAAAGTGTTTTTTAGACATAGTATATTTTTGAACAGTTAAAATGTTTTAAAAGTGATGATAAAATTAGGAATTCACAACTTCCGGTCAGAGGAGTCCAAATATATTAACAGAGTTATCCCGCTTTCTCCAAAAATTAAAATCCATCCCCTACTAATTCGTACATACACTGCACTTCGCCTGTTATGCAAATTATCCCATCTTTCCCACTATTGTTGATTCCCTGGCATAGCCTCCTACCCAGGCAGTGATTCCTTAATAAACAAAGGAATATACAGGAAGTAGAAAACCGAAACTTTCCTATCTAATAAATTAATGTTTTCACAATGATTTTAGAACAGATGAAGACCAAAAATAGCACATTTATATATTTTATTTATTTTCCGTGTAAAAATTGTTGGAGAATGATATTTTTTTGTTTTGTTTCCTATCATATCAAGAGTAGGAAGTTTTCAAGGTACGCTTTTCGTTTTGCTACTTGTGTATCACGATTTGTAATATACAGATTATATGATGCTATTGTGTGGTCTCTTGATACGTTGGTATAAAATATTAATTTACTCTATGTAATTAAATATTTATACAATTCGTAAGAAACAATGAGAAGTATATATGTATATTTTTCCTTGAATCGTTTTTTGTTTTATATCAATGATTTAAAAAGAAAGTTTGTAATTTTTGCAGACGATTTCATTTATCTTTTCTCTGTACATCATATTTGTTTACCATAGTAAGTATGCAACACATTTACTTCAGTACTTGTACTTTAAAATAGAACATCCTTGAGAATGTCTAAATAAAGATTTAATCCCATGAATAAATCATGCATCGTAAGATTGCGATACATGTTCCAGTATAATTTATGATACAGTGTTAGAGCTCAAAAGTGAATTTAACAATACAAGATGGGAGCTCAGCAAATACTGACCTCTTAAACATGGAGATGGGATCTGATGTCATGGAGGAGTAAGCATCGCCTCCATACCACTCTCATTATCACTGCTCCTTGTCATGTTCGGGAAAATCACCAGAAATTTCGTGAACAACTCAGTGCGTAAATGATGACATCCCTATTTTCGGACATTGTGTGATTTATTTCTGTTTTTATGTGGAAATGAAATGTATGTTGTTGATATTCCATAACTTTTCCATAACAAAAACATATTTATGTATACCGAAACAGAGTTAATAGGGAGAGTCAGTTTTAGTTCACAACATGTCCTATACCAAAAAAAACACTATTAAAATTCAATCGAAGTATTAACTGACCCTCAATTTCAATTAACCACTAGTTGAATTTTTGCCATGCAAATGAGGGAGAATTCAACTCATTTGCATACAGTGGAGCACTGCTCAATGCTCCTATATATTTTTTGCAGTTGACCGCTAGTTGAATACTCCTCTATTTTCTTTGCAGTCGACCAATAGTTGAAATCTCAATTAGTCAGTACGTAGAATGCATTATTTATAAAATGAAGGTAGATTTGAAATTCATTTCTGCATGGGTTCTTTTTACAAGATTTTTTTGCTTTAAGATATTAAAACGAATATTCGCAGAGAAGTCACACTTTAAATAACCTTCTTGATATAATTGACATGATCTGATTTAGCGCCCATATCTGTTACAAAGTAACTTATGACTTTTTATTACTTTTCTAGCTGCAGATCTGTAGGTCTTCGATAAAAAATATTTTCACAGACGGCACAGCTACAGTATCAAGATCTGATATTTTAATTTTGTTTGTATAGTTAATAATCATAATTGTATTATGCAAACATGACATCTTTGAAGATTTTTAAGTTATGTTTGTTCAAATCATGTTCACCAGAGCAAGAAAAAGGGTCATTAGGTATCCGACCTAAGTAGGAAGTAGGAAGGATTTGGAGATAACGAACAGTATTCAATATCAAAGTCCACAAAACAATACAAAATAGGAGCAGATCTAACACAGACCCCCGAACATCAGAGGTGGGATCAGGTGACTTCACGTATAGCTATATGTTATACGGAAAATAGATGTTTTTCTCATACCAAGATGCCAGCAAAAAGTTAAAAAAGAAAAAAAAACATTCATGTCGTGGAAATTTTAATTTGTTCCTCTCCTATTTGTATTTTATATGGCCTTTTGATCTTGAAAAACGTTTTTTATTTTCATGTTTCATTATTCAAACGAGGCAATCTATTGAAAGACAGGTTGATGTAAGAAGATATATAAAGAGAAGTTAATTGATGTAACAAAACACGAATATCAAAATTTTCGCTAAAATTCATCTTCACGAAAGTTCTTAATTTATTATCATTGTCAATTCAATGGACTTGTCAGCAAATACAATCCGTCATTGACTCGAATGCTGGTTGGCGTTTTTCATACTCATTTTTGGCTTATTATTTACACACTGAATAATGCATACCGCATCTTCTTAACTTGATTTTATATATGAACCATGAGTATGAAAATATTTCATCAAATTTATTTTCATGTCGACTCTAAAAGCCATTCATTACTGAAGACTCTTTATAGTGAAAAGTACACGATTAGAGATGATGCATATCAAATTTAAAAAGAAACACCATGTTGAAAGATAAACAATTTTATTGCTGATTTGCACGTTATAGTAAACACGTGTGCAGAGTTACATTATTAAGGAGGAGAGGGATGACTCGTACAATTTTTTTTCTTCCATTTTTCAACGGAAATTATTGCGTGTTTTATCAATGGTAGATCTTTGGATGTTTATTTCATGCAGAAATAAGTTTTGTAGCATGGAATAAGTTTAAGACAAAATTAATTTTAATTAATTTAAATCTTTTTAATTGCCAATCAGGTCCTTATCTGTTTGTACAGTTGCCGCATAGTAAGCATTCAAGATGGAAAAGTGGAAAATGGTACGATTATGTAACAAACTTTTCAGTGTAATAAATATCAAAGTATTCCAAATTACGTCCACTGGAGCAAGTGAGAGAGGCTTATTAGGTAACGAACTTGGCAGTATTATTAGTCCCCTGCTGGTGAAGCTGGAGGGGACTATAGGTTTCCTCTGTGTCTCTCCGTACGTCTGTCCATCTGTCTGTGTGTCTCCGTCTGTCTGTCAGTCTGTTCTACTTGGTTTTCTGCACTTTTTCTCCAAACGCTTGCAGAGTTTACCGTAACCCTAACCCTATTGAGCTAAATTTTGATATGTCAGTGTATCTTGGTTAGTTACAGATCAAGTTTGAATTTTGTTTTGCTTCATTGATTTTAGACAGATTTATGGCATTTTGATTTTTTTATCATTGTTTAATAACATCGCATTCATTCTGCGCTAAATGGAAAATATTAAGCGAGAAAAAAAAATGTTGAATAAGTTGAATTTCCTCTTAATGTGGATTATCTTATTAGGTTAAAAACATTCCCAACCTCAGAATCAAGCAGTTTTACCTTGGACATAACTTTTGCATATTATTAAACGACTTCATTGATTTTGGACTGATTTATGGCATTTTGATTTTTTTTATCATTGTTTAATAACATCGCATTCGTTCTGCGCTAAATGGAAAATACTAAGCGAGAAAAAAGATCTTGAATAAGTTGAATTTCCGTCTTTATGTGGATTATCTTATTAGGTTAAAAACATTCCCAACCTCAGAATCAAGCAGTTTTACCTTGGACATATCTTTTGCATATTATTAAACGACTTCCTGAAAATAAAAGGTGAACCCGGTAGGGGACAGGTATTGTTTATCCAATACTCTCAGAATGCCTGTTTCATCAGTATTATATTCATTCAAAAATTTCAGCAAAAAAAGAAAAATAAACAAACCGTTGTCGTAGATATTAGATGAATTTAATATAAATACATT